CCAGCTCTACCCTTTGCCACCTGGATGACCTGGAACCAGTTACCTCGAGCGCCTGAGTTTTTTCTCGCTGTCTTTTTTTTTTTTTGGCCACGCCACGCAGCATGTAAGATCCTCCCCAACCAGAGATTGAACCTGTGCCCCTGCATTGGGAGTACAGAGTCTTAACTACTGGATCTCCAGGGAAGTCCCTGAGTTTTCTCATTGTAAAACGGGCTGGGGGATTTTTGAGGATGCAAGGAGCTGATGCATTTAAAGTGCTTTGCAGGCTTCCCTGGGGGCTCAGTGATAAAGAATCTGCCTGCCAGTGCAGGAGACATGGGTTTGATCCTTGACCTGGGAAAGATCCCACATGCTGAGGAGCAACTAAGCCCTTGTGCCACAACTATTTAGCCTGTGCTCAAGAGCCCAGGAGAAGAAACTACAGAAGCCAGCACTCTAGAGCCTGTGCTCCACAAGAGAAGCCACCGCAACGAGAAGCCCGTGCACCTCAACTAAAGAGTAGCCCCCACTCGCCGCAACTAGCGAAAAGCCTGTGCATCAACAAAGGCCCAGCACAGTAAAAAATAAATAAAATTATTATTATTTTCTTTTATTAGGTTGTACCAGGTCTCAGTAGGTATATGCAAACTCTTAGCTGCGAGATGTGGGATCTGGTTCTCTGACCAGGGATTGAACCTGGGCCCCCTGCATTGAGAGCATGGAGTCTTAGTGACTGAACCACCAGGGAAGTCTCTAAAATAAAAGTATTTTTTTCAACAGTCAAAAATCAAGTGCTTTGCACAGGACCCAGCATCTGTGGGTGCTTAGCCAGTGATTGGTTGCAGTCCATTCTTCTAGAAGAGCCAGGTCTAAATTGGGGCCTTCTGCCTCCTTGCAGTCTTGGGGAGGGGGTTGGATCTGCCCCCTTGCCCACCACAGCTGTGATCTATAACCCTGCGTTAGCAGTTTTTCAAACAAGGGGCCCTGTTCGGGTGTCTGAAAGCTGCACACTGAGGGGTTAAGTGCCAGCAGCCGCTGATGATACCTCGAGGCTGCCTCCAATCCCACAGTCAGGCCCACCTTGCGCCAGCCAGCCGTGAAACTGCCGGGCGCCCCACATAGCCAGCCACAGAAACTTCGCGCTGGGCCCCCATGGGGAGGCTCGTAAAACACACTGAAGCTTCCCCTGCCGGCCCCGGCAGACCGAATATTTACAGACTCGGCTGAAATGAGACCCAGCAGGGCAAATTTCACAGGCAGTCCAGAAAAAGGCTCCTTGCCGCCTGTCCCTGGGAAAACAGGGCACAGGGTGAAATGCAGTCTGTTAGGTCAAGGCCCACACACCCAGCAAGACAAGATGGGTGACCTGGGCTTGACATAGCTGCTCAGTCGTGTCCAACTCTCTACAACCCCATGGACTGTAGCCTGCCAGGCTCCTCTGTCTGTGGGATTTCCCAGGCAAAAATATTGGAGTGGCTTGCCATTTCCTTCTCCAGGGGATCTTCTGGACACAGGGATGGAACCTAGGTCTCCTGGCATTGGCAGGCGGATTCTTTACCACCGAGCCACCAGGGAAGCCGGAGAGAGTTCCTCTGTTTAGCAGAAGCTTCCAGGGCATTTCCTGTGTGCCCGGCCCTGTGCTCGGGACACAGCAGCGTCCATGATCTGCTCTGGGGAACCCCTGGGGAGTGTTTCAAGCTGGAGGTGGAGTGAGCCTGGCTTCCTGAAGGAGCTGACTGGAAGGGCATCCCAGGAGAGGGAACAGAATGTGCAGGAGCCGCTGGGAAGGAATGGGTGCAGCCATCCGGGAGGAACCCAGCAAGCAGGAATGTGGGTGACTTGGGTTCAGAGTGACCTGTGAGATCCCAGTGGGGTCAGGGATCAGGCCACCAGACACAGTGATCTGGGGGCACTGGGGGTGGGGATGGCCCGCTTCAGCAGTTGAAGGGATCCTCAGGCTCCTAGTAGGAATACAGGTGTCTGTTATCCCAGAAAGGCAAACAGCACTTTCTGTCTCCAGGGAACCAGCAGCAGCCAGTCCTGGAGAAGGGGCAAGCCAAGGTGGGCTCATGGCCAAGTTATCTGGACAAAGATAACAGCAGGGGGAACCCCTGCAGACTCCAGGCATGAGGTCCCCCCACCCCCACTCCAAAGAGCTGAATGTAGGCAGTAGGAGCACGCTGGCTAGCAGAGCTGATAAGGTTGGTACCTCATGCCCAACCTGGACAGAGTCACAGCTGCAGGCTAATGAGGGAGGCGGCTAAGCATGGAAGACGAGTTGTCGGGGTCGGGGTAGGGAGCAGGAAGAGTAGGAGAGAGAGAAAAAAAGATGGAGAGATGAAGGAGGAACAGAGAAACAGAGACAGACTCAGAAGGAAAAAGAGACAGCAATGCACAGAGAAGACAGACTGAGACACATAGAGAGAGACACACGGACCCAGATAGAGACAAAAGCAGATGCAGAGGGACCGGAGACGCAAAGATATTGAAATTCAGGGGCTGCTGCAACCCCTGCCCCCAACCCCGTGGCCACTGGATGGTGCCAGAGAGCTATACTCTGCCCCGCAATTGTTCCTACCTGGCCTCTCGGCCAGCCCCAGTGCCTTTCTCTCCACTTGCGGTTCCCTTACTGGTCCACTGCCACATTAGAGGAAGGCCTGACCTCAGGGTGGAGATGGAGACGAAAGCTGGAGCAGGGTTTCGCAGGAATCAAGGATGTCCAGAGTCCCTGTAACCTTGCCACCCCCATGCCAAGGCCCTGTGCCTGTCTCCTGTGCATAGCACTGCTTGTCTTGGGGTGTGTTTTCATTGGTCTGGGTGTGTGTGCGCACAAGTGTTTTGAAATGGGAGTGTCTGGTTTTATCTTGGGAGTGTGTATCTAGCCAGTCTCAGTCTCATTTTGTCTCAAAGTGTGTGATGTGTGTGTGTATGTGTGTGTGTCAGAGACTGGGGGGTGTCTCTGTGTGTCTGATATTTCCATGCACTCAGAAACTTGCCACACTCTCCTCTCCCTTCACCTTTCCCAGCAGTTTTGCATGGAGTCACCCAAGAAACTGGAGAACTGAAACATTCAGGAAAATTTCCTGGGATGCCAGAGGCAATGCTCTCTGGAGGGATAGGAACGGGTGTCCACAGAGGTGACTGAGCAAATTTTAGGTTCTGCTAAACCCAAGCACTTAGTTGGTGCTGCTTTTCATGCTGTGAACTCAGTTTCCTCATCTGTATAATGGGTCTGATATGCTAGCAGCCTCATAGGTTTGCTGTCCAGTGATTAGGTGAGTTAAGGTTTGTAAAGCTCTTTGAACACTGCCTGGCACACAGTCTAAGGACTCAGGAAGTTTCAGAAACCATCTCTTTGATCGTTATAACTATAAGCACATACGTTAACCCATGGGTCAGTGGAATCCCCCGAGAATTCTATACTCACCACTAGGGATATGAGGGTCATTTTAAAGACTCAAATAAAGCTGCGTTGGCTCTTACTGCAGCACGTTAAGATCTTTGGGATCTTCAATCTTTGTTGCATCATGTCAAATCTTCTGTTGCAGCATGTGGGATCTAATTCCCTGACCAGGGATCAAACCCCAGCCCTTGGCATTGGGAGAAAGGAGTCTCAGCCACTGGACCACCTGGGAAGTCCTTAGAGTGTTTTTTTTTTTTTTAACTTTTTAATCAAAGTATAGTTGATTTACAATGTTGTGTTAATTTCTGCAGTACAGTGAAGTGACTCAGTTTATACATGCTTCTTTTTAATATTCTTTTCCATTATGGTCTATCCCAGGATATAGTTGAATATGGGCTTCCCAGGTGGCTCAGAGGTAAAGAATCTGCCTGCCCAATGCGAGGAAATGCAGGACACATGGGTTTGTTTCCTGGGGTGGGACGATCTCCTAGAGGAGGAAATGGCAACCCACTCCAGTATTCTTGCCTGGAAAGTCCCATGGACAGAGGAGCCTGGGAGGCTACAGTCCATGGAGTCCCAAAGAGTCAGATATGACTTAGCAACTGAGCATGTTCATACATAGTTGAATACGGTTCCCTGTGCTATTCAGTAGAACCTTGTCATTTATCCATTCTCTATAATAACTTGCATCTGCTAATCCCAAACTCCCATTCCATCCCTCCTGTATCCCCTCTCCCCCTTGGCAGCCATAGATCTGTGCTCTATGTCTGTGAGTCTGTTTCTATTTTGTAGATAGGTTCACTTGTGGCATAGTTTAGATTCCACATATAAGTGATACCATGTGGTATTTGTCTTTGTCTGACTTACATCACCACTTAGTATATAATCATCTCTAGGTCCGTCCATTGTTGCTGCAAAATGGCATCATTTCACTCCTTTTATGGCTGAGTAGTATTCCACTGTATGCACTGGAGCTCTTATATGGAAAAATTCATTCACCAGTTCTTGTGAACATTATGTGGGCCAAAATAACCAACAACAACAGAAACAACAGAAAAAATAGATTCAGCCCCTGGGCTTCCAGTTTGAGGGACCCTCTGATCCAAGGGGATAAGTTTTGCCAAGAAATCTGTGTCACAAGAGGCTAGGTATTTGTGATTCCATAAGTTGGCCATGCCAAGTTCAGTGACTATGTCACAGGTTGGGGCAAGCTAGCACAGCATTCTCCCTCCCTATCTACCTGCAGTATTGGTGGGGTGCAGGCCTCCACCTACACACAGGCCTTCTGCCTCTGACTGCCCACGAATTCCTCTCCCTGCCAAGACAACCAGAGTGATGGGTTGATTGCCACTCAGGATTCTGGCTCTAGGATTCTATTTTTTTGTCCACATGGTGCAGCTTGGGAGATCTTCGTTCCCTGACCAGGGATAGAACCCAAGCTCTGGCAGTGAAAATGAGGAGTTCTAACCACCGGACCGCCAGAGAATTCCCTCTAGGATTCTAGAATGTTCGGGAAGAAGGGAGATTATTCTGAAGACCTAGAATGCCAGGCACTCTCAGATTCTGGGTGTCCATGATTTCAGAGATTCCACAATTCAGATCTGCCTAGGTTCTAGAACTCAGGGATTCTCTAAGCTTGGTACTGTCCGCCTGGGTCTCCCATAATTGCCCGTGACAGATAATACAGTGTCTCGAGGCAGAAACCATGATCCCTCTAATCCAGCGGCCGAGGCAGAGGGCCTACTGCCTGCGGCCACCTGGCTTTCCTAACGGCTTAATGAGAAAGTCAGAATTAATTGGAACTGGCACCCAGCACTTGCAGGGCTCGGCGTGGCCAGCTCGGCCTCCATATGTTAAAGCTGAGCATCTCTGGTTCTGCTCTGACCTGTTCTGCACACCGACAGGTGTGTTGCCTGAAACTTGGAGGTTAGCCTGACAAGGGAGGTGGCTGGGGCTGTGGTGACCAGTGCCACAGGTAAAGTCAGCCCCACCCCACCCCTGCCTGAGACAGTGCAACCAGCATTCTGGACCCTCATTGTCTCCCTCCTCTGGGCTTCAGTTTCCCTCCTTTGCTCAGTGAGACCAGCCTCAGAGTTCCTTGTGTATTACATGTAAATTGCTCAGCCTGTGTGCTATGCTATAATCTGTCCTTGGGCACCTGGATAGATTCCCAGAAGGGATACAGTAGTTTCCGTTTTAATAGCTATTATCAGAGAGATTAGAACATTTCACGCATATAATCAGAGAGATTAGAACATGCACCCCCAGTGCATGAGATTGCTCTTTTCCCCAAACCCTAGAAACATGGTGAATTATCAAACTTTTTCATCATTAGTAACCTGATAGATTTTTTTAAAGTATTTTGTGGTAGTTTTATTTTATATTTAGCTTATGACAAGTGAGAATGAACTCCCTTTAATATGCTTAGAAGACATTTGTATTCCCTTTTCAGAAACTGTTCATAATTTGCCTCTTCCTATTGGATGTTTGGTCCTCATTGACTTCTGAAAGCTCTTTACATATTAAGGAAATCATTCTATTGTCTACGATGTCTTGGAAAAGTTTCTCTGACTTAATCTATTGACCCTTCTAGTATTTGTGTGTGTGTATAGGAATTCTATATTTGTATGTAGTCAGTTATTAATCTTTTAAATCATTAAAGGTGTAATGTCATGCTTCAACACACTGGGATTATTATTAAACTTCCATGTTCTCTTCTAATAGTTTAATAGTTTCTCTGTCTCTGTTTTTCTATTTTTTTGCTTGGTGGGGGATGATCCATCTGGAATTAAATTTCCTCTTGTTGTTCAGTTGCCCAGTTTTTTCCAACTCTTTGCGACTCCATGGACTGCAGCACGCTAGGCTTCCCTGTCCTTCCCTCTCTCCCAGTGATGCCATCCACCCATCTCATCCTCTAACACCCTCTTCTCTTGTCCTCAATCTTTCCCAGCATCAGGGACTTTTCCAATGAGTCGGCTGTTCACATCAGATGACCAAAATACTGGAGCTTCAGCTTCAGCCCTTCCAACGAATATTCAGGGTTGATTTCCCTTAAGATTGACTGGTTTGATCTCCTTCTTGTCCAAGGGACTTTCAGGAGTCTTCACCAGCACCACAGTTCAAAAGCATCAATTCTTTGGCATTCTGCCTTTTCTTTACGGTCCAGCTCTCACAACCATACATGACTACTGGGAAAACCGTAGCCTTGATTATACGCACCTTTGTCAGCAGAGAAATGTCTCTGCTTTTCAACACACTGTCTAGGTTTGTTATAGCTTTCCTGCCGCGAAGCAATCGTCTTCTGATTTCATGGCTGTGGTCACCATCCGCAGTGATTTTAGAGCCCAAGAAGAGGAAATCTGTCACTGCTTCCACCTTTTCCCCTTCTATTTGCCGTGAAGTAATGGACTGGATGCCATGATCTTAGTTTTTTTAATATTTAGTTTTAAGCCAGTTCTTTCACTCTCCTCCTTCACCCTCATCAAGAGGCTCTTTAGTTCCTCTTCACCTTCTGCCATTAGAGTGGTATCATTCGCATATCTGAGGTTGTTGATGTTTCTCCGGCCTATCATGATTCCAGCTTGTTACTCATCCAGCCCAGCATTTCTCATGATGTGTTCAGCGTGTAGGTTAAACAAACAGGGTGACAGCAGACAGCCCTGCTGTAGTCCTTTCTCAATCTCGAACCAATCAGTTGTTCCATACAGGGTTCTAACTGTAGCTTCTTGACCCCCATACAGGTTTCTCAGGAGACAGGTAAGATGGTCTGGTAGTCCCATCTCTTTAAGAGCTTTCCACAGTTTGTTATGACACACACAGTCAAAGGCTTTAGCGTAGTCCATGAAACAGAGGTAGATGTTTTCCTGGAATTTCCTAGCTTTCTCTATGATCCAGCGAATGTTGGCAATTTTATCTCTGGTTCCTCTTCTTTTTCTAAACCCAGCTTGGACATCTGGAAGTTCTTGGTTCACATAATGCTGAAGCCTAGCATGCAAGATTTTAAGCCTGTCCTTACTAGCATGGGTGATGAGTGCAATTGTCCCATGGTTAGCACATGCTTTAGTACTACCCTTCTTGGGAATTGGGATGAGGATTGACCTTTTCCAGTCCTGTGGCCACTGCTGCTTGCCCCATCCAATTAAATTTGCTCTTAGCCACCTTTAAAATCTCCATCTGAAATCTGATGGTTGTCTAAGAAGCTGCATAGAAAGTGGACAATAGCATGATGGCTGAAGCCAGGTGGCTAGGTTTGAATCCTGGCTCTGCCATTTTTCACTGTGTATCCTCAAGGAAATTACCCTCTCTAAGTCTCACTTTTTTGTTGTTGTTGTTCAGTCACTGAGTCATGTCTGACTCTTTACAGCCCCATGGACTATAGACCTCAGGCTCCTCTGTCCATGGGGTTTTACAGGCAAGAATACTGGAGTGAGTAGCCATTTCCTTCTTCAAGGGATCTTCCCAACCCAGGGACTGAACTCGTGTCTTCCACATCTCCTGCATTAGCAGACGGGTTCTTTACCACTATCTCCACCTGGGAAGCCCAAGACTCATTTTACTTATAATCTGTATAATGGGAGATAATAGTGCCATGTGAGAATTAAGGGAAGCTTTCTTTTCTTTTTTAAAATATTTAGAAGGCCATCTGTCACTGAGCAGGGTTTTTGTTTTTGTTTTTTTTCCCCTCTTTCCTGTTTGCTATTTTTGTTTTTATTTGCTTTTCCTTGAGTAGTATAATTGCACTTGATGATTCTTTCAGCATAGCCAATTAGCCAGTGACTATGCTTCAGGAACATTTCCAAGTGCTTACATGCAATAATTCATTCCTTGTAACAATCCCATTGGACAGATGGCAACATTGAGGCTCACAGAGGTTAAGTTCCTTCCTAAGAAACATGCAAGGGTTAGGGTCAGGCTCAGAACTCTCGATCTGTCCACTGCCCTTTTCTGATTTCAGCCTTCCTCCCAGCTTTTGGTCACTGAGGCTCCACAGTAACTGGCTTCTAAGTACAGATAGCCTCTCTGAGGTCAAGTCAACATTCTGGACACCCAGAACTGGCCAGTCCTGTCCTGGCAGGTATGGAGATGGATGGGGGTAAGCAGCAATCAAGGAAGGCTTTCAGGAAGAGGGTGCTTGGATAAGTAAGACTGGAGAGGCTGGTGGAGCCTGAGAAAGGGGTTGCCAGGGTGGGAGAAGACTGTATGGAACTGGGAGTAGGTGATTTCCTGCTTACAAGCCTCCCCTGACCGTCATTGGCCACAAGCCTTGACTGTTGCTTCTCCCCACTAGACACACAGCTGAACAGTCGTTGATCATGGACAGGTAACTCCTTGGTGGGAGTGTTGAACTCCTACTCATATGCCAAAGCCCCAGTGCTCCATGCTTACCCATTTGGGAACCCATCTATCCCTACTGGCCTTTTCCAGCTTGGGGTCTCTTCTACCACTCAAACCCTGACCACATAGCACTGGGAATCTGTGTGTCCTGCTCCGTGTTTCCGACCTTCAGTGGGGTGACCCTTGAAGGCATAGCACTAAATTGAGATTTCTCTGGCGCACAACATCACTCACTCAGCCTGGACACAGAAAATGTACTGGTTGAATGTATCATGAAGGAAATAAGGGGCTAAATGAGAGTCAGATATGTGAGTGACAAATACAAACCTCAGTCACTTCCCTCCAGGGCTCCCGTCTCCCTTAGGGTAAAAGCCCAAGTCCTGCTTGTGGACCCTCAAGGCCCTGCACGACCTGCTGCATTCCTTCCCACCGCACCCCCCCCTCCCCTTAGCTCACTCTGCTCTAACCCTATAGGCCTCCTCACTGTTCCTCCAAGACACTAAGCAGGGTCTTGCCCCAGGGCCTTTGCACGGGCTGTTCCCCAGCTCAGCATGCAGTAAGCACTCTTGATTGTGACCTTTGGCGTGGCTGGCTCACTCCTCCGTCAGATCTCCATTCAAATGCCACCTCCACAGAGGGGCCTCCCTTGACCTTGATCTCTGAAATAGCCGGCCAGTCTGGGGCTCTAGTCCCTGCCTGGCACTTCCCACGATCGGATGCAGTGTGTATTTACATAGTTATCTTTATGATGCGGCTGTTTTCTGTACGTTTTATTCCCTGGTTCCCTGGGCGCCTCCATCTGCCTGGCGCGCAGTAGGCACTTAATACATCTCGGCGTAAACCGAGGGGCGTCTGTGGGTGGGGGCGCGGGGCCGGCGAGTCTCCCGCCGCGCCCCGCCCTCGCGGGGCCTCCAGCCTGAGCGCCGGGCGTGCCCGGGAGGGCAGGCGCGCGCGCGCGCGGGGCCCCGAGCCGGGTCCGAGCGCCCGGTGCGAGCCATGGAGGGGCTGCGGCGGGGCCTATCTCGCTGGAAGCGCTACCACATCAAGGTGCACCTGGCGGACGAGGCGCTGCTGCTGCCGCTCACTGTGCGGCCGCGGGACACGCTCAGCGACCTGCGCGCCCAGCTCGTGGGTCAGGGAGTGAGCTCCTGGAAGCGCACCTTCTACTACAACGCGCGGCGGCTGGACGACCACCAGACGGTGCGCGACGTGCGACTACAGGACGGCTCGGTGCTTCTGCTCGTCAGCGACCCCAGGTGGCCGGGGGCTGGGCCGGCGACCTGGGAACTGGGGAGGGGGCCTGGGGGCGGGGGTCAGGTGGCCCCGGCTGGAGTTCCGGGTGAGGGGTGAGTCAGGGCTCCGGGGAGACTACGGGGAACTGCAGTGATGGGTTGAGAGGTGGGTCAGGATTGACGGGGCCTGGGGGGCACTGATGGGCCTGGTCGGGGTGGAAGAGGGGAGGTGGTGGGTCAGGGATGGGGAGAGAACAGGGGGCCTGGCTGGGTCCCAGGTGAGGGATGAGTCAGGCCTATGGGGGAGATGGCAAGGAACTGAGAGCCTGGCCGGCGTCCCGGGTTGGGTGGGAGGTGGGTCAGGATGGATGGGGCCTGGAGGGCACTGCTGGGCCTGGCTGGGGTCCTGGCTGGGGGTGCTAGGGGAAGGCAGCAGGGCACCCCAGGGCCTGGCTGGCATCGCCAGTGGGCTGGGAAGTTGGGAAGTGGGTCAGGCTGGGGGGAGGCGAGGAGAGAGCTTGGTTGGGATGGGGTGGAGTGGGTGGGATGGTTGCCGGGGAGGGTGGACTAGGGGCCCTTCTTGCCCCTGTGTTTGCCGCCCCCATTCTCCCCTCCAAGCACTGGCTATTATGGGAACCCGCTGCGAAGGAAGGATGGAGGGAGCCAGGTGCCAAGAAAGGTCAGGAGGGCCGCTCGATCCCCCTGCAGGTTTTCTTCTTCTATCACTCTGCCCGCCTCTCTGAAGCCTCCCCTGCATTTCTCTTGATCTCTCTGTTTTCCGTCAGTCCCTCTCTGGGGGATGCTGTCCCTGTTAAATTTCATTTCCTTTCCTAATTCCTGTCTCTGTCTATCTCTCTCTCTGTTTCTCTGTGTCTCTATTCATTTCTGTCTCTGCTGTTTTTCTCTATATATGTATGTATGTCTCTCTTCCTTCTCTGTTCATTTCCCCCACTACCCCTGTCTTCCCCACAAACTCCTGCTGCCCTTGCTGCCCATGCTCTGATCTGGCCATCTGGGGGTATCCAGAGAGGTCCCCTGGCCAAGGTGACCTGAGATGAGTGGGTCTCCCAATTCAAGGAGGGTGGGGGTTGGGCAGAAGGGCCATGAGAACAGCAAATGCAGAGCCCTGGGGCAGCTTTGGGAAATGGTGAAGGCTGACGCTTGGCTAGATGGACAGTGAGATGGAGGAGATGGGCAGTGGCTGGTCCCAGAGCCCAGGATAGACATGGTGGATGGGGGAGGAACTGGAACTTTCTGTGTAATCTTGGAGTTTATGGGGGTTATGCTTGCTGGGCCCCTAGAGGCTTGATCCACCAAGCCCGGGGTGGTTTTTTAAAAATACTTATTTGACCACACTGGGTCTCGAATGCTGGTTGCAGCACTTGAGATCTTTGATTTTCACTGTGACATGTGTGATCTTTCAGTTGCAGCATGCAAACTCTTAGTTGCAGCATGTGGGATCTAGTTCCCTGACCAGGGATTGAACCCAGGCCCTCTGCAATGGGAGCGCAGAGTCTTAGCCACTGGACCATCAGGGAAGTCCCTGGGGGTTATTTTGAGAGCAGTAGTCTCAGATGACATACCTGAAGGCTCAAGATGCAGTAGGAGGGCTTGCCTCTCCAGGACCTCTCAAGGGAGGGTCTCAGGGGTAGGAGGAGATGGGGGTGCGCTGGGAGAGGATGTTCCTGACAGTGGCCAGACAAAGCCTAGCAGCTGAATGATGCACAAATGCCCACACAATCAGTGTTCAATATACAATAAGCATTTATTAATTGCCTACTGTATGCCAGGTCATGTGCTGGGCACTGGCATTCAGCAGAGACCCAGACTAGGCTTGCCTTCATGGAGCCTACAGTCAGTCTAGTGGGAGAGACAGACAAGGAACCAAATAAATATGTGATAAAATATCAGGTTGTAATAAGTGCTGTGGAAAGTTGCAGGAAGGTCAAGAGTGATGGAGGTGTTGCTGCCTTATCAACAGTGGCCAGGGGAGGGTATCTCAGAGAAGCTGACATTTCAGAGTACCATGTGAAGGAGCTGATTAAACAGAGAACAAGAGTAGGCAGGAGGGTGTTCCAGGCAGAGGGCACAGCATATGCAAAGGCCCTGGGGCAGGACCTGGTGTGTTGGAGGAACAGTGAGGAGGCCCCTGTGTCTGGGGCAGAGTAAGCGAGGCAGAGAGAGGGAGGAGGGGAGGGCAAGGAGGGGCTGGGGCAGGTCATGCAGGACCTTGTGGGCCATGAGGAGGACTTGGGCTTTGATCCCCAAGGGAGATGGGACCCCTGGAGGGCTATGGGCAGAGGAAGGGTGTGGCCTGACTCAGGTCCTCACAGGCGCCCTCTGCAGGAAGGATAGACTGGTGGCGGAGGGGCGGTCTGGTGATGGTGAGTGATGGTGGCAGCTGAATTAAGACAGTCAACTTGCTGTTCCTCCAACTCTCTAGGCATGGTCCTACCTCAGGGCCTTTGCAGTGCTGTTCCCTCTACCTGGAATGCTTTCCAATTCCCTCCCTCAGCTCCTTCAGGCCTTAATTCAGTGTAGATTATCCTCAGTGTAATCTTATCCTATGCACTTATCCTCAGTGTAATTTTCCCTGACCACCTGTTTAAAACTGCATCCCACCAACACCTGCTTTATCTTTCTCCCTGGAACTGACTTGTCTATATTTCACTGATTGTTTTTGCTACTATTTTACTAATTCTTTTCACCCCATCTGCCCCACTAGACTGTAAACTCTATGAGGGCATTGTTGTCCATCCTATTCACTGCTGTCTCCCCAGTTCAGTGCCTGGCACACAGTAGGTGCTCAACAAATGTTCATTGACTGTATGATCTCTGGGGGTGAGGAAGAGGATGCTCAGAACATCTTCCTGGAGTCCTAATGGCTCCTGGAAACAAGAGAGAGGATCTTTAGGGTGGAAGCAAGTCATGGCAGATGCAGAAAGATGCATTGGCTGGATACCAGGCAAACCAGGAGGCCTTAAGTGCCAAGGTGAGGGCTGCATTGGCCTGTAACCTGTGTCTTTCTGTCTCCCTCCTGCAGGTAACCTGGGTTGGAGGATGCGGAGCCATGGCCGAGGGGACCAAAGGTGCTGGCTGAAGGAGCAGCTGGGATGGGGAGGCGACTCTCCTGGGAGCCTTGACCTCACTCAGGGTAAGTTTCTCTAGTACTTGGGACATGGAAGGGACCTTAGAGATTATGGAGACCACAGATGGATAAACTGAGACCCAGAGATGAGAAGGAACTCATCTCTGATGACCATCACCCCTCTCCATATTCCTGCACTTCTAGACCCTGGGGTAGGGTCACAGGCCTCATGTTCTCCCTTCCCTTTGAACTAACACGTGGCCCTGAGTAATGCTGCCCTGACTTGCTGTGTGTCCTTGGGGAAATTGCTCATGTGCTCTGGGTTCTGTTACTCCCCCTCCTGCCATTGAAAGAGTGGACTTTAGTTGGCATGTTTGGTGTAATTGCACCCTTTGCCTGCAATTCTTGTTACTGCCACCAGGTGGCTCCAAGTGCCAAGCTCCCCTGGCTACCAGGGTGATGGAAGGGGAGGAGCTGGTGGCAGGTATTAGGGGAAAGGTAAGAAGAAAGACTGGTCAGAGAGCTGGTCTTTCATCCTTTTACTGGGGCCTGGATTGAAATTGTCTTATCCCCTCCCTCCTGCTGTTCCAAGGTTCTGGGCTCCCAGGATAGATGGTGAAACACTGGCCTGCCCAGCTGCTGCCCGCCACCTGGGACCTTTCTGATGGAGCCCTAGTCCCTGACACGGACTGAGGACATTGCTGCTCCAGGCCAGCCAGCCTTCCAGTTGTGCTGTGTGATCCTGAGGCCATGGCTCCCACCTTGGAGCTTCAAGTGCCTAGGGGGATCCACAGTGTCATCTTGGGAGGCAGCTGGAGGATGTCACATGTGGAGAAGCATAGAGTGGAGACGAGGGGAGCTTGTGGGCATCACCAGCTCCTGCCTTGAGCGTTCTCTCGGGCATGCCTCTGCCCAAGCTGTGCCCCATGCTGGAAGCACTTCTCACACCCCTGTCTTCAGCTCCAGTCCACCGGGGATTGCAGCCTCCTCCAGGAAGTCTTGGATTTCCTTCTTCCCAGTCAGTGAGCACCTTGTCCTCTTTGGGGCCCCCACAGTCCCCCTCTACTGTGAAGAGCCTCAGCTGATGGGTGTGGCCGGTTACTCACGAACTCTCAAATGACTGAAGGTGAAGACTGGGGGACACCAGCCCTCTCTCAGCACTCCAGGGTTGCACTTTCCGCCTCCCCCAAACCTCTCTGCAAGTTGCACCCATGCCTGCTCCCTTGTCGGCGTCCTTCACTTGCAGCACAGGGTCCTCTGGTTGAATGGGTGGGGGTCTGTGCCTGGCAGAGCGCTGAGACATTGACGATAATCATGGGGGTGATCCAGACTATTCCAGGCAGTGTGTTGTAGGAATTCTGGGTACAAGACCCTCTGGGTGGGGAATTCCCTGTGGTCCAGTGGTTAGGACTCTGCTTCCGCTGTGCTTCCAGCCAGGGTTCAATCCCTGGTTGGGGAATTAAGATTGCACAAGCTGCGGTGTGGGGACAGGGAAAAGAAAAAAGGCCCTCCAAGTAGAACGCGGGTACTCAGTTGTATTTCTGATCTTTGGCCGCAAGGCATCGGGTCCTCTGTGCAGTCCACCCACCACCCGGGGTAGCCCATTCGCATGCGCTCTCGAGGGCTCCATCCATGCCCTGGGTGCTGGCATCACAGGGCAGAGGCTCAGAAGTCTGGGAAGAAATAATGTTTTAATTAAGAGTTTTGTTGGCTGCAGGGCCCAGGGTAGGGACAGATGGATAATAAATCGTGGCCATGGGGAGAATAGCGCTCAGATCGGACTTTGTCTTCCACTGGGTGGGGACAGCACCAGGCCTTGGGGGCTCTGCTAGCCTCCCCTCAGACAAGCCTCTCGGGTTGGCTTTCCTCCCCCTGGGGCCAGGCAGCCCAGGCCCCTGCTCCTGCCTGGTTTTGGCCTTGGTGGGTCACGCAAACGCTGAGGAACCTGCCCACTCCCCATCCCCCACCCCCACCCCCCAGGGCCCAGCAGGAAAGTGGGGATTTTAATAGTCACCCCAGCTCTGTTCCTTGGTTCTCACTATGTCCCTAGGCCTGTGCCTGGCCTCCATTTATTCTAGTCTGCCAACTGAAAGGATCGTCAGTGGTGGTGAGGATTATGACCCATTTTACAGATGGAGCATCTAGGGTCACCCCGTTCCCCTCGGCTCTGCTGCCCTGGCCATCCTTGAACTGAAGGGTCCCCAGCCCATGCACAGGTCCCTGATAGAGGAAGGGGGAGAGTTTCCTGCTTCTTGGCTGAGGTGGGGGTGGGAGAAAGCATTTTCAGGCCTTTTTTGACATTTTAACAAACAGTATGCAAATCACATGCAAATCACATGCAAATCACCACTCATTTCTTAATCCTCGACAGCTCCACCGTGTTCTGATATAATAATGTTGGACCTGTCACTTGGTATTGGCCTGGAGGAGGGGTGCAAGTCTTTTCTCTTCCATTGTTCTCTCCCTTCCTTTCTTCCTGTTATCTCTTTACTCCCTTCACAGTGTTAGTTGGAGTCCTCCCAGTCCTGAGATGAACATAAACCGCAAAAGTGGCTTCCAACATTCCCATTTTCCAGATGGGAAAACTGAGGCACAGAGAGGGACAAGCCTGGCCTGAGATCCCAGCACCGCTTGTGGAAAGCATCCCCACCAAGTACTGTCATGGCCCAAAGCAGACAGTACCCGTGACCCACAGAGGAGAGATAACAGTGGTTGGAGCAGGCCTAATACAGCTTGGAGGAGCCAGGGGGAACTCTCCTTGGGTTTCTTGGCCTGAATGGCAGTCTGCTTGGATCTGGAGAAATCTGACATCTACTGATCTTACTCCTCAAGTCATTTCTTTTGCTATGCCATCATCATGTTCTTTGAATTCAGGCCACAGCCTCTCTGCTCAGTTTGCATGCCTTACTGTTTCTGTTTGCAAACTCCTCTTCATCCTTCAAAGTCCCAGCTCCTATGCCCCCTTCTTTATGCAGCCATTTCTGATCCGTCTGAGGTCTGATCTTTCTCTCTGGTCCAGCCCTGACCCTTTTGTGCACAGCAGCATTATTGTACACTCTGGATCATTCCCAGCACTTTTCTGATTATTGTTTTTTGCTTTTGGTTGCACTGGGTCTTAATGGCTGTGTTCAGGCTTTCTCCAGTTGTGCTGAATGGACACTACTCTTTGTTGCGGCTCACAGGCTTCTTACTGCAGTGGCTTCTCTTGTCGTGGAGCACAGGCTCTAGGCACACAGGTTTCAGTAGCTGTGGCATATTGGCTTAGTTGCTCTGCAGCATGTGGAATCATCCTGGCCCAGGGATCGAACCCATATCCCCTGCATTTGCAAGTGGATTCTTATCCACTGTACCACCAGGGAAGTCAAAGACTTGTCTGATTTATACACACCTCCAGACTTTTGTATTTTCTGCCCAGGATGTGCTTTTGGTTCTTTTTCACCTGATGTATTACTACATTTTCAAGGTCCTGGCACTAATGCCCAACCTCCATTGGGTTCAACAGCTCTCTCCCAGTCAGCCTCTGGGTCCTATAGCCTCCAGTCTGCCTGGCTCACTCCTTCCTGACCCACAGAACGGGGAGGTCTGTGTGTCCTCCCAGTCTTAGGCGTCACCTCTGGGGCCCCAGGATCACTCAGGTTGGGACTAGGTACAGAGGGACTGAATTGAGTGTGTATAGAATAAAAGATTAAGTGTTTGGACACACAGCCAAGTTCAGTATCCTTAACTTGGCCTTCAGTTTCACCCTACATAGACAGTTCAGCCCTAAGCACGTCCTTTCCTCTTTCCTCTTACTCATCTCCAGAAATGCTTTGCCCTTGACTCCTATTCTGGGTGACCCCACGCCAGCCCCCTCCCATCTCTGGACTATGTAAACAGGGGAAGCCTGGTCCCCGCTCAGGGCCTCTCAGGTTCCTGGCTCCACCCCAGGAGCAAGTCTGGGCCGTGAGGAGTTTCGGGTGAGACTTGGCAGTCACCATCTCTCGCTGGGGCCCGCGGCGTCCAGGGGAGGGGCCGCCTCCCGCCTTGTCTGCCCACTCGCTTTGAGCTCCCAGAAGCTGGAGGGGAATTTTCCTGGGTGGCAGGTAAACCAGGTGGTTCCCAGAGGAGGCATCTGTGGCTCAGTCAGAAACTGCAGGTGCCCAGACTTCCCACTTTGGTTTTGCTCTGCCTTCCTCCCTTCCTCCTTCCTCCCTCCCTCTCTCTGGGACCCCAGACTGGATCCTGGCATTATCTAACTTTGCCCATTAGTTCAGCGGGTACATGTAGAGCATGCTCTGTGTGCCTGGCCTTGTGCTGGCTGCTGGAGATACCAAGACAGACCTTGCTTTGGCTGCCTTAGATGGTGGGGCAGGTTGTTCACTGCACAAAAACAGCCAGCTGGGGTGAGAGACCCTCAAGAAGGCAAATCTTTTTGAAATTCACACAAAGTGTCCTATACCTCTGAGTGGTGGTCCTGACCCTGCTGGCTCCCTGCCTGCCCCCAACCTGTGTCTTCATCCATTCAGTCTCTTCTGCACGTATCTGCCTCCCATTGATCACTTCTTTCTCTCTGTGTCTCTTGATCTCTGCCTCTCCACTGTCTCATTCCAAGTCTATCTGTCTCCATCGCTGTCTCTTCCTCTCTCCATGTCTCTTGCAGTTTCTCTGTCTCTGTCTCTCTCCATATTCCTGTATCTGTCTCTCGTATCCACTCTCAGAAAGGATACCCTTTCCTGCCGATCCTCTGAGCACAACCTCTGGGGTGTTTCCAAAAGCTGCTGGGACTGCCCATTCTGTAATCGTGGATGAAGCACCTCCAATTTGCAGGGCATTGAGGACAGCATGGTGACCGGGACACCCAGCTGTTGGCCCTCTTGGAGTTATAGATCCGGCAGAGGAGACAGAAGCCACAGGACAGTGTGGGGTGGTGGTGGGGGTGGTGCTCCTGGGATCCTGGAAACCCCTCCTCTGAGCTTCCCCCCAGTCCTCTTCTGAATGACCTCGGGTGGTCCTTGTTCCTCTGTGGGCCTCAGTTTCCAAACCTGCCCAAGGAGGGAGGTGTTTAAGGTGGCTGGACCGGAAGTTGCTTGCACAGTCTGGTCTATCTGTAGGCAGAGAGATCCTGACTCATCCCTAAGCCAAAATGGGTTTGAAAGAATCCTCTAACGGAAAAACAGTTCTAAGAAAAAAGAAGAAAGTCACAGTCACCTGCCCAGGCTGCTCTCTGACTCACCTGGGGTGGAAGCAGCCTCACTGCCATCCCCTGGAACATCAGAGAAACTTCCCGCCTCTTCCCCTGATGGCCCCTGGCTATCCACTGAAGGCTGTTGGCCTCACCATGATGGCTCTGACCAGGCACTGACCTTACGCTTGTGCTGTGAGCTCCACTCCCACTTAACCACCTTGCTGACCTCTGAGGGGGAGAAACTCTTTCTGGCCACAGGACCTTTGCATGTGCTGTTTCTGCATTTGGAAGACCCTCTCCCCACCTCTCACCTTTCACTCTCTGCTTTGCAGGTTCAATGTCACTTCCTTGGGGAGACTCTGAACAACCGAGTCCCCTTGGTTTTGCATTCAAAAAGTATCCTGTTCTCTTCCTTTGTAGCATTAATTATTTATATTATTATTCATTCAATGTGTTATTTTCCCCACTAGCCTCTGGGCACCAAGAAGGCTGGGATGAGGTCTGGTCTGGTCACTGCTGGATCGTGCAGCATTTAATAACCCAGAGTAAGGGAGTGGGAGCCAAGGACACCCTCCCTTCCCAGGCTCCATAAGGGTCCCCCGCCCTGGTTTCTGCCACCACTGGGTCTAGCTCCAGCTGGCTGCAGGGCACAGAGCCTGGGGATTGGGATTCCAGGCACTCTGGCTCCTGCCACTTTGATAAATGGGGGAAATTCAGAATTAATTATTGACTGCTGCACCGAGCCGGCCTGATCTGGACAGATAAAGAGTGTCCTCACTGTCGCGGCTGCCCAGCACTTCTCGGGAGTTTATTAGAGGTTGGGAGGCGGCTGGCCGAGGGGGAGAAGCCCAGAAGGCACTGGAGCCAGATGGAGCTGCTTTGCAAAGCCTGGCTTTGCCAGGCCACTTCGGAAGGCCACAGCGGTCCGCGGATCTCATTGCCCTTGGGGCAGGTCGTATAGGACCTTGCGGGGCGGAAGGGAGAACTTGGGCTTTTACACTGAGGGAGGCGGGACCCTGGAGGGCTGTGCGCAGAGGAGGGGCGGGCCCTGGCTCAGGTGCTCACAGGTGCCCTCCAGTGGCTGCTGCTGGGAGGGCCGACTGTGGGGGCTGAGTTGGGGAGCCAGGACACCAGGGTGGAGGCAACTGCGCTGGTCCAGGTGAGTGATGGTGGGGGGGGAACAGCGTTCCAGGCAGGGGGAACATGCAGTGCAAAGGCCCTGAGGCAGGGCCATGCCTGGTGTGTTGGAGGAACAGTAATGAGGCCCATGTGGCGGGAGCAGAGTGAGGGGGAGGGGAGAAGGAGGGGGGCAGGCTGGGAGGAGACAGGGCAGGACCTGGTGGGGATGATGTGGGTTTTTCCTCTTAGATGGATGGGATGTGGTGGGTTTAGCAAGAGCAAAAGCTCTGAGGGGCTGGGGAAGACTGGTTGTACTTTTTCTGGATCCAGGAGTTAAGGGTTTGAATCCCTCCTCTGGCTCCCCTTAGCTGAGTGCCTGAGGCTAATGGACTTCCCAGGTGGCTCAGAGGTAAAGAATCTGCCTGCCAATGGAGGAGATGCAGGTTCAAGCCCTGGGTGGGGACGATCCCCTGGAGAAGGAAATGGTAACCCATTCTAGTATTCTTGCCCGGAGAATCCCATGGACAGAGGAGCTTGGGGGCTACAGTCCTTGGGGTCGCGAAAGAGTCAGACACAACTTAGTGACTAAAGAGCAACAACAACAAGCCTAATGACTTGCCCTTCTGGTCAGTTTCTCATCCATAAAATCAGTCCAATAGTAGGACACCCTCTCATAGTGGTGAGGCTGAAATGAGCTCGGGGTAGGGAGGAGCTACTGGTGCCATGAAGCAGCCATGACAGGGATTAGGGTTAAGACAGCAAGCACTGGCCTCCACGCAAAACTTAGGGGGCTTGGAGGAAGGTAGACAAAAGGTACGAACTTCCGGTTATAAGAGAAACAAGTACCAATGATGTAATGTACTTGATGACTGTAGCTAACACTGCTGTATGATATATAAGAAACTTGTTAAGAGAGCAAGTAAATCTAGGGTCTTCCCTGGATGTCTGGTGATAGGGACTCCTTGTTTCCACTGCAGAAGGTTCAGGTTTGATCCCTGGTCAGGAAACTAAGATCCCACAAGCCATGAAAATAGAAAAAGAGAGAGAATAAATCCTAAGAATTCTCATCACAAGGAGGAAAATATGTTTCCCTTTATCCTTTTCTTCTTTTCTTTTTATTGTATCTATATGAGAAGACAGATGTGAGTTGAACCTATTGTGATGATCATTTTGCAATATATGTAAATCAAACCATCATGGCCTTAAACTTATGCATTGATGTATGTCAATTATTTCTCAATAAAAGTGGAGAAAAAACTTCAGAGGTGCTGTCAAACTCAGTCATCCAGATTAATACGATTTTAATGTAACATTGGGAAGAAAACTCAAAATGAATGCAAAAACATCTACAATGAACAAAGTATCTAAGTGTTAAATATTGACAGGCTCTGACTGCCCGCAGTGGCTCCAGCCTTCACACTCACCTCACCCTATTCCAGGCACTACTGCACCTAGGAGGCCTCCCTCCCACCCAGCCTCCCCTCCCTGCAGTAAAGGCCTCTGATTAAACCTTAATTCCAGATGATTAAGCCTAGGGATCTGGGGGCCTGGCAGTTCTGCAGGAGGGAGGCCCTGGCAGGGGTGGGCCAGGCTGGGCCTCCCCAGGGGAGAGGGAAGGCCAGGAAGGAGGCTGCTGAGTGGCTGGAGTGGAAGCCGGAACTTAATTAGCCCCTCAGGATTAATTACTAGGTCTAGGAACAGGCTGAGAAATCTATTACTCGAGCAGCTTCCGGCTCCAGGCTTCCCTCATTCACTCCATCATTTTTTCTCTGCACCTCCTTCTCATTCTTTTCCAACAAAATATATTTGTTTAAAAAATGCACCTTTATATCTTATCGTGAAAACACAGATAATATATTTTTTGAGCAGAGTAGATAGTATATAAATTTGGGGGGATATACATTGAAGTAAATATATAACTGTTAAAAAGTGATCTACATTGTTCTGTTTGGAACCATGGCAAC